CCCTGAATGCTACCCAGCTGTCTTGGGCCCCATTACCTTCAAGCAGCTGAGAAAAGGTAGGGCCTGGCTTGGAGGAGAGCATGGCTCTAGTAAATTTTTAGGAAAAAGCACTAAGAGTGTGAAGAAGAACATTGCTATTGGGGGGTTGGACTAGATAGCTTTCGAGGTCCCTTCCAACTCTAACGTTCTGTGATTCTGTGATTGCTATGAGGTGTTGAGAGAGCGTAAAGAGCTTGAAATACCTTTATAAATGTTTAATATCTCTAAAAACTGAACCCACAGCTTCTTGTCACAAGTAGTGCATTTCTTAGGATATGTTTGCAATCAGGAACTTGAGGACATCCCACTTTTAATTCTGCTTTATCCCTTTACAGTTCCTGAGATATGTCCGTTTTTCTTCTTAGGATGATGCCAAAGAATTGCCCCCTGCAGTACTGGAGAAGAGGCAGCGAAGGAAGTATGAGAGAGAGAGAAAGAAACGCCGAAGAAAGGAGTTGAAGATGAAGGCAAAAATGGTGAAGAAAGAAACTGAGGAGGTACTGGTAGAGCCAGACATTAAAAAGGAGGAGAGCACAGGTGAGATTGTCTATAACAGGGTAGAAGTCCATGAAGAGAATGAGTTGAACAAGATCCAGAAGAAGAAAGAGAAGAGGAAAGCGGTGAAAGGCAGTATTACTCCTCTGACGGGCAAAAACTACAAGCAGCTGCTGGGCAGGCTGGAGACCAGGAAGAATAAGCTGGAGGAGCTCAAGGATAAGGACCAGAAGAAAGCTCAGGAGCTAGAGAACAAGATGAAATGGACAAATCTTCTCTATAAGGCAGAGGGCGTGAAGATTCGCGATAACGAGGAGCGTCTGAAAGAAGCTCTGAAGCGTAAGGAGAAACGTAAAGCGCAACGCCAGAGGCAGTGGGAGAAGCGGACAGAGAAAGTGGTGGAAAAGATGCAGCAGCGGCAGGAAAAGCGTCGCAAGAACATTCAGAAGAAGAAGAAGGATAGGATAGAGAAGAAGAAAGCCAGGGCCCGGAAGAAAGGCCGGGTTCTGCCAGAAGACTTGAAAAAAGCTGGCTTAAAGTGAGAGTCAGGCAGCTGGTCCTGGGAATGGCAATTCTGGGGGGGTGTCGGCAAAGAACTGTCACGGAGCGGAGCAGACCGGACCCTCTGCCTGTCCCCATGGCTGTGCTGCCACTGTGTGGGAGGAGGCAGTGCCCGAAGACAGCAGCCTATGGTGGCTTCCCAACTTAATAGTGACAAAAAGCCTGTTGTGTGTTCGTTAATTAAATTTTCTATCCTAAAGAAACACTTTCTGAATGATTTCCTGTAATAATCACTCTTTTCCGAAGGGGAACGTGTTGGTTGAGGGGGGCCCGAGGGGGCGGGCTGGGCCGAGGCCCCGCCTTCCGACGCTGCCACGGCAACCGGGAGGCCGCGCGCCCTTGGCGTTGCCACGCGACGGAAGCGCGGCTGAGAGGAACGGGGCCGCGGCTCCCCTGAGGGCACGGGTCGGGCCCGGCGGCTGCCTTCGGGGGTCTGAGGGGCTCTTCCGCCTTCAGCGCCTCGAACACCGGTAAATCGTCACGTAGGGTTTTTTAAACCCCCCGAATGCTTCCCCTGCTGCAGCGTTAGCAGAAGCTGTGCAGGGGACAGGCGGTTTAGCAAAACCCTTCCAGGCCGCAGTTTCTCTCCCCCAGTTTGTTAACAGCGGCTCCCCTGGAAACTGGCCAGGGCCGGCTGTGCCGGGCCGCATGGAGATGGCGGAGACTCTGCACTTCCTGCCCAGCCAGGAGGTCTAGGAACCAGTCTTTGAGGATGAGGTAAAAGAAAGAAAGGTGTAAAAGGCAAATGAGTTAATTGTGTCGGTCAGGTGTTTGCTGGCTGTAAAGGGACCTCACACCTGAGGTCAGCTTCAACCTGTCTAGGTTCTGTTTGTTTTAGTAGAAAATAAGGGTGTTATTGTCAGCATCTGCTTACTAATGCACCTACTAGGGTTCCTGTGTCTTCACTGTGCATCAGGACGTGTTAACTGAAGGCAGAATCAAACTTAAAACCCAGCAGTAGAAGATATATGAAGAGGCACAGTAAACCAGATTCAGTAGGGATTTCTCACTTTGGTGTTGGCTTTCTCTGTAACCACAAGCAAGGCACACAACCCAGTTTGCTTCAGTTTTCCTCTCTGAGGAAAGGAATTTCCTTTTTTTTTTTTTTTCCCTCATTCTGAAAACAGCCTTGGATGAAGATTGTTACACTTGTGCCAAGTAATGTTCATTGGTTTACCTTTCTGTTCTGCTGCTTTTCCCCTGCTGTTTTTATCGATTAATTTTTTCCTAGTCTCTATTCAGTAGGTTGGAAAGAATTCTAACCATTTTGATTATGGTTCTTTGAAGGTTCACCCTTTGAATGAAATAAGGAACAGGACTATGTTTTCAATAAGGAGTGAAAGGCCCGCTTCGGTAAGGGATTCAGAAATTTCCGCTGATGACAGCCTACTATCACGTTACCAGCAGAAGTGGGTTGAAGGAACACCCTACAATGACTCCACAGGAAATTCACTGTTGTACAGGTAGAGAACAGAAGCATAAAAACTCAATCATATGTTTGTGACCATAGGTATGAAGCTGTAAGATTTGCACTGGGAGCTAGGCACTGCTGGTGTCACATTCTTGGTCACAGCAATAATGACTTGCAGTGGACTGTCTCCATGCCAGGTGTAAATTGAGTATAATGAGCTGCTGCCTGTTAAGTGCAGATTAACAGGCTAATCTTTGCAATGGCAAACGGATTGTATGGCTTTCCTTTTAAAAAGAAATTGTATGTCTTTTTTTGTTCAAAGCAATCTAGATATAAGCCCAGTCTGATTTATATTCTTGAACTGTATTTTACACTGTGTTAAAGGTTTACAAGATGATACAGTAATGATTATGTCGTGAACAAGAAAAGAAATTAGGGCGTCTATCGTTTTCACCCTAACTGTTCTGCTGAATAACTCCCTTATTCTCACTTTGTACAAGGAGAAACACAGTGCCCCAGCTGATGGGAAGAGCAGTGGGCAGACAAAGGCTATTTCTACATTTCTAGCTAGTTCTTCTGTAACAGTTCATAGATTTTTATACCTTTTAGAGATAGTATGAGACTCTTTGTAGTTTACATGTATTAAATCTAGCACTTTTTGCTTTTATGCTGTCATAGCAGATTCGAGGTTGTGATCAACCCAGCATAGATAACTACTCAGTCCAGTTAATCTCAGAAGAAGCAACATTAATTCTTGGAACCATATTCTTTAAGTTAGACTCGTGCTTATGTTTGCTTAAATGTTACATTTTGCCAATTAAATTGACTATTATACCAATTGCAGATGGCTACTCTTACATATTTAGTACAAATCAAAGCTTTATTCTCTTTCTGTTTCAGAGAAGCTAGAACAGCTCAAAAGGCTTGCATAAGTGTAGCTACAAATGCAGCAGAGGAAGTCAGAGGCCTACCTGATTTTGTTGGTAAAGTTTATTTCCCTTAGTTTCATATATTTTAGTTTGCCTTCTTAGGGGCCACCATACGTATAATGGTTTGAGCTGAACAAGGTATAAAGTCGAGCTCAGAAATGACCTGACACATTTCTGATAATGTCTAAGTAATTTTGAAGATTAAGAGTCTACTCAGAGAAAAAATGGTTGTAAAATTGTCAGTCTCTGTGTATAGGTGGTAACTCCAGTTACGATGTAAGCAGACCTCATTCTTGGACATCGCAATTTTTTGCATCGCACCTAAACTTATTTCACAGCTTCCATGTTTTTATGCTTCTGAAAATCATAAATTAATAAAATCAAGGAAATTTAAAAATACGCTTTACTATTTTTAATGTACACTTGCATAGATTTCTCTTCCTCTGGAAAGCTGTCATGCACTGTAATAGCTGCACTAACTAGAGGTCATAGCATGGATTTAGTGATTCATTGTCCATGTATTATGTATCTGCAGTTCCAAGCTATGTCATCCTTGTTTCTTTCTTGGCAGTTTCTGAGGGGACGAGGAGTAATATCTTGGAACTCCTGTCAGAACGCCGGCGAGGCCGTCATGATGAGGTGGTGACCTCAATGTATCATGAGCTTGCCTGCGTTGGCAGGGTAAGACTGGATTTTATAATCCAGATAGTCTGAAGTGCTGTACTAAGGTCAGGGCCTAATATTTAAAGGAACAGACTGACTTCTTTACCTTTTCAGGAGATGGAACCCTTTGTTTTGGAGGCTGGACAACAACTTCTGACAAAACTGGTTGAATCTGATAGAAAAACTGAACTTCTGTTTAAGAAGTTTGAGCCTGACACTGCTCTGGAAGGTTTCTTGATGGAAGTAAGGCAGCTCATGCCATTGTCTCATCTTACAGTTGTTTGTACCTGATCTGTATAACATAGCTTCTTCTGTCTTGCTGTAGTTTTAAGATATAAAGGCTTGTTTGTTGGTTTGGGGTTGGTTGGTTTTGTTTGTTTGTTTGTTTTTCCATTTAGCTTTCCAAGAGGTTGAGAGTAAATCTTTCTCACAGGATTTTGAAGAACTGTGGAATA